GAGGGCAGATTTATCAGCAAAGATCCAGCCTGGTGAGGACGTCGGCTCAAGCATCCTCGATAACATCATTGACCCGCCAGAGGACTTCCTCGACCATCCCGACTACGACCCAGAGGAACATACAAGGTGGATCAAGCAAGCCTACGACCACCGCATATACCGCTGGACGTCGGAGTTATTGGTGGACTCACCTATGATAAAGGTGAAACAAATCATTGGGGTGCATACTGGCAGGGGCAAGATTGTGGTGGATAAAATACAGTCATACTTACGATTTGACATGCGATTTGGATCCAAAACGTACAATTCAGAGACATACTATTTGGATTACAATCGTACCCACAAATGGGCACGTGACTTACCGATTTGCAGTGCGGATAGCTTCTTCAAAAAGATGGTGCACTACCTGGACTCAGAGGTCATCGAGGAGTCGACTACAGGCGTCTTTCAATGGATTTCTAAAGTGTACCAAATCATATTGCTGGACAGCATTACGGAGCTACGTGATTTCACAAAAGGTGCTATTCATCAGAACCATCCTGCACTCATGACGTTGCGTGATCTATTTACACATTGTATCAAGACATTTGGCAACCCAGGCTTCCCCGTATGGAGGGAGCTGGTGGAAACACCTGCCGCGCCGCATCAGGAGGAGCCAGGCGCGGAGCAGGATATTCCCCAGGACCCAGGCAGCGTTGCATCCGCAGTCCCAGATCAAGAAACCATGGTACGGATCATGGCCCAGCAGAAGGGGATCGACCGCGAAGAGGGCGACAGCGAGTCCGCCTTGCAGGAAGAGGCTAACCGTATCCGAACAGAGAACGTATGCCATGGTGATACTGACAACGTGGACAACGACACGACCGAGCGCGTAGGACTGCCAGGGGGAAGATTGTCTAGGATCGAGATCGAGGGAATGAGCCGATCGATCGCCTCCCGTCCGACCGCCGAGATCAACCGCGATGCCATGGATCAGATCGGCCGCGTTCTCGCTAGTGGTCGTGACACTCGCTGGGGATCCCGTGATCACCTCACGATTATCGGGGCCCCAGAGGATATCCAGCATGATATCGTGCGATGTCGGAATTGCGATCGTTTCTTGTCTCTAGGGATCGTTACAGATGAAGGTACCATTTGTGATATCTGCTGGTAGTGCACTGTTGCCGTAGGTGCTACGGGTAAAAGTACCGCCGTCGAGAGCGACCTGGCATACCTCCAGAAGTTGGCCCACTGGATCAGGACGGCGCTCTCCCAGGACGACATCACGAGGTGCATGGCAGACGGAGCGCAGGTCCTGATGATGGGTAAGCGCTCCATTCCAGGTCATGAGAAGGACACGCTGAGGAGATTGGCAAATGCTGCTAAAAAGAGGTATCAGAAGTGGGTCGCCGCAGGCTCCCCTCCTGCACACACGTGCAGGTTGATGGGCGAGCGTGAGGACGACAGACCTCTATGCCACCCCTTTGCCAACATCGTTCAGCGTTTCCTGAGTGATATGAAGTTCCACCACCAAATGACAGGCGCTCGCATCAATAAAGGCAAGAAGGCTTATACCATCGAGGATATGCGAGACGCCTGTGATATTCTCGATCACAGCGTCAGGACTGGCCAAGCCGGTCGGAAGAAATGGTGGTTGAACGCAGGCAGGCTCGATCGAGGCACGAGGCAAGCGCGCGGACTTGTCGCGATTGCCCTTCCCAGAGGGGATGGCACTCGTGAGAGAGTCACGCAGCGCGAGCTTGCCGTGCTTGCCTCCATTGAGCCCGCCTTGGGTCCCACTGACCAGAGGGGGGGTGATTCAGGGATGAGAACCGATCCGATCGAACCTGATATACACTCCCCACATTCTGATGATGCCGTGGAGCCATGCCAGCCGCGGCGCCCGCCGCCGCCGCCGCGCCCTGCTCCTGGCGACGCTGCAGGGTCCAGCGCCTCTGGCGCGCAGGACTACATGCCCGCTGGGCAGCGCGGCGCTGCCGCACAGCGGCAGGACAGCGACGACAGCCGCAGACCAGCGACACCTCCTCGCGCCAAGAGGGCGCGCACGACGGAGGACTACGCTACGTGGTGGCGCGACAACCTAGAGGACAGCCAATGGGGCCCCAGATACTGGAGCTACTACATCAACTGCTGGATGTACATCGCGGACAACAACGACGAGTTCGTATACGTACGCGACATCCAGTACAATAATTGGTTCCGCCACTGGATCCCGAGGACGCCCTGGGAGACCTGCACGACGAGCTACGTCTCGCATGATGGCCGCAGGATGTGGGGCCACAGGTTCTACGAGAGGGGCAACGCGTAGTGTAGTCGGCCGCCGGGCCCGCCGCTCGATAGGCTAGAACTTCATCATTGCACAAGTTCGCCTCGAGCGGTGGCTAATACATCATTTTAGGCCACTTCGCTATCCAAGAAAAGTGGCCGCGCCTATCCTTGTGAAGCCCAAGGCAGCCTCCTAAGGAGCAACGCCGAGGGGAGTAACGACATGCAGAATTTGATTATGCAGCTTTTCGTGCTTATCAACGCGACTTTACGTGCGGCCGTGCCTGTTTTGCTTTGATTATTAGACGTGTTTCTCAACGCGATCGTGTTCTTCAACGCGACTTCATAGTGCACATCTTAATTTTCCTTCCTATTTGCAGTGTAGTAGCATTGCGTTGAGAATGATCTGATGCCCAGCTCTCGAATGAGAGCTGGTGGCAACACCTGCCCCGCTCAGGCGCGGCAGCTTTTGATGTTGGTCTAACTTGCTCAGATCCTCTTTCTCCGCCCACCCGTGTCTCATTCTTCTCCGCCCTCGAGTGCCGAAGCGTTTTGGGGGGCGCACCGAGGGGGCACCAAAGTGTGCTTGGCGAAGAAACAGGGACCCTGGGTGTTCCTTCTTACCTTACCTTGCCTAATCGCGAGCGCTATCGCGATTGGGAGGCAGCTGAAGCTATGCAGATCTTGTGCTCAGCTGCCTGACATAATTGAGGATTTCAGGGGTAAAAGGGTGACGGGATCTTTTCCTCTGTTCCCGAGTCCTACCCGTGCGGGCGGGATTCGGGACGGGGTGTGTGAATAGAACCCGTGTAATACCCTCATATATACTCCTTATCCTCACCTCTCCTGCGCTTGGCCGTTTGGGCTCAGGTATTGGGATAGATCGATCAGACCTTTGATCGTGCAGGAGGAAAAGATATCCATCTTTCCCTCCTTCCCTCTACCAACGGATCAGGGGTTCTGTGCCCTTGTACTTCAAACCCATACACAGGCTTGTTCTCATTGTGCAATTGCCCCTCCTGTTGAGAATCCAGAGCCCAGGTCTACTTGGCTACCTCGCGCTCCTGCCGGACTTCGCCCTCGAGTTAGACCTACATTGCCTCCCCACCCTATGGGCCTCAAATGGGATTCGTGGAGCAAGCGCCTCTGGATCCAGGTCGACTGCTTGGGGGTAGCTGACGTCGTCAACGGGCATTCGGTATTACGAGCTCCAGAACTGGAGTTGGTGTTCAGGAGGATCTGCGCCAAGTTGTTCGCTTTGGAACGGGCTGGGTGGAATCCAAGACGGGATATCGATTCCCACGTCAATTGGGTCCCCAGGCACATGAACGCAGTGCCCGACTACCTCGTGAACGCAACGATGGACACGCGTCAAAATCTCCACAGGGAGAGCCCGGAGGCACTGCACAAATACGTTTCCAGTGGGGCTATTAAGATATGCGTGGATGGAGGCCTTCGCGGTCTGCATTCTGATAGTCACCGGTTGGCGTGGATCGGCTATGCAATCTATGGGGCTCAGGGCGTTGACGGAGACGAAGTCCACTACGAGGAGCTAGCGCTGAAGGGGGAGGTGGTGACGAACATCCGGTCTGCGTTCGAAGCGGAAACGTTAGGTTTAGACGCAGTATTATGTGCATTTTGCAAGTATCTCGTCATAGTTGTGTGATTGTTTGTAGCATATTTTTTTGTCCATGTTGATTGCCTGTCCCTCTTTCCTCCTCCTCTTTGCCAGCTGGTTGATTCAGTATTCTTGTGCGTCTGTAATCGCAGAAACGTCCCTCGACCCAGGCACAGGCCCCCGGGGTCGCTATGAACTCGACGCAGTGTCATGGCAGGAACCACGCACATTTTCGTTTCACGCGCCCGGTAGGGCCAGCGGCAGTCCGAAAGAAAGAAAGAAATAACTATGCTGATGATGATGATTATGATGATGATGATGATGATGATGATGATGATGGTGATGATGATGATGATGATGATGATGATGATGATGATGATGATGATGATGATCATGATGATGATGATGATGATGATGATGATGATGATGGGAGGATGGGGGGGAGGAGGATAGGAGTGATGCGTGGCGCTGTCCCTTCAAGACGAGGACCCAGCACCACAGGAGGGTTGGGAATTAGTTCCGATGGGGATCACAACGGGGGGACCACGACTGGGGGCCACGATGGGGGGATCGGGAAAGGGATAGGGATGAGGGGTAGGGATACGTATATAGGGCTAGGGGTATAGAGATAGGGGTGTAGGGATAGTGATAAGAAGCGGGATGGGGATGGGGATCGGGAAAGGGGATACGGACAGGGGTAGGGATATCAGGTAGGGATATCGGTAGGGGTTGGGATAGGGATATGGGGCCACGGGCAGGGATAGGAATGGCAGAAGGAGGTCATGAGAGGCCACGGGAGGCCGCGGGAGGCCGCGGGAGGATGCGGGAGGCCACAGGAGGCAATGGCAGACAATGGCAGACAGTGGGAGACAATGGGAGACAACGGGAGGCCGTGTCGCCCCGCCGATTCTGGATCCGGCGACCTACCTACAAGTGTCTTGAAAGAGATCCATGGAAGCCTCACTAGCAAACTCTTTACGGACATTCGGCCGTGGCTGCGAGCCCCCCCCCCCTCCTCCATGGTGGCTGCGTGACTGCGTTGAGCCCATCGGACAAGTGCGAAATAGCAGCCGTGCTTCTCTTGCAGCCAGTCTTCCAAGCAGCCCACCGCCCAGAGGTGCCGCCCATGGGCTCTGCCAGGCTGGTGCCGGGCCTCTCCGAGGACAGCGGCGCAGCTCGCCTGCCAACCACAGACCCGAAGCTGCAGCAGTTGCCTCCCACAGATCCGCAGCTCCAGGAGACCGCTCCAGGAGGAGGAGGAGGAGGAGGAGGAGGAGGAGGAGGAGGAGGAGGAGGAGGAGGAGGAGGGGAGGAGGAGGAGGAGGAGGAGGAGGAGGAGGAGGAGGAGGAGGAGGAGGAGGAGGAGGAGGGAGGAGGAGGAGGAGGAGGAGGAGGAGGAGGAGGAGAAGGAGGAGGAGGAGGCGGAGGAGGCGGCGGCGGCGGCAGAGGAGACGGAGGAGGAGGATGAGGAGGATGAGGAGGAACAATACTAATAATTATAAGAATAAGAATGATGATACTAATAACAATAAGACGAATCATACTACTATTCATCATAATAAGGATAACAAGAACAGTAATACTATTTCTACTACTAAGAAGAATGATCATAATACAAAGACGAATACGAAGAATAAATATAATGGTAATACTACTAATACTGAAAAGAAGACGAATACGAATAATAATCATAATAATAATAGTAATAATGATAATAAGACAAATCATAAGAAGACGAATATTAATAATCATACTGAAAATACTAATGCTAACAAGACGAATACTACTACTAATAAGAAGAAGAGTACTAATAATAATGATTAATATAGTCATGCGAATAATAATAATGCTAATACTAATAAGAATAAGTCTAATAATAAGAATGATGATAGTATTACAAATGCTAAGAACAATAAGAAGAGGAGGATGAGGAGGAGGAGGAGGAGGAGGAGTGGCTCAAGGAGCATTGCGGTCCAGGGAAGGCCCTGGGCTATAGGGCTCGAAGCAGCAGTTCGGGCACACAGTTCTCCCGGTGGAGTGGACCAACCAGTGAAGAGTACGGCGGCATGTCTTGGAGCACTGTCAAGCCAAGGTGGCTCTGTCGTACGTGTATCCATGACAAGACAGGAAAACCGTGGATCAACGGCAGTGGGCGCGCAACCTGTGCGCTTTGTGGATTGCACAAGAGTGTCTGTCTCGGCTCGAACGCAGTCCCGCACACTCCATCGGTTTCAACGAAGGATAAGTCTGGCACTAAGCGCAGTGGCGCTCCTCCTTGTTCTACCAGCGCTGTCAAAGAACTCCGTCAACTTCGGGTTCCGATCAGGAAGCTGGAGCACAAAGACCAAGTGCCAGAGCAAGATGCATCCATGCAGTCCGAGTTCCTCGCGGGGTGCGCAGCTCGTCAACGGCTCTCTGAGGTGGACAAGGGACTCCATACGGTGGCCAAGTTCGTGGGTCCCGCTTGGGACGAGCTTCGGAAGTCTCCCGAGTGTGAGCGGTCCAAGCTCCGCGACTCCTTGCAGGCCAGTCGTCCTGTTCATTCACAGGTGCAGATGGCCACCACACGTATCGAGGCGGCGGAGAGGAAGCTCACCAAGGCCAGAGATCGTTAGGAGAAGCAGAGACAGCAACTGGCCCAACTTCAGGCCAGTATCCAGCAGTCGGAAGCAGACATCTTTAGCCAGGATGAGGCCAAGCAAGAGCTGGTGCTTCAACGTAATCGGCTGGTGGCAGAGGGGGTCCAGGCCTGCGGAGGCAGCAGTCAGACACCCTCCACCCTGCAGCTCAACCTCACGAGGCTGCAGGAGGTCCTCGGCGATCTCGGGCTGTCGGAGGACGTGGAGAGCAAGGCCAAGCAGTTGGCAGAGGCTTTCCCCACTATCGTGGCCAATGCCTCCTTGCTGCGGGCAGGCACGGGCACCGTCCCAGCCCCAGTGGAGGGCGGCAGCGGCGAAGTTGATGATCCTACTTGCCCCCCAGGCTTGCCACGGGTGTTGCAGCAGTGGGCCCCATATCAGCAGTCTGTTGACAAGATTCGGGAGCAGTTGGGACCCCTCAGCCTTCTGCCAGATGGTGCCGCTGGCGATTTCGTTCGGCAGAGGGCGAGGGCCCTGGCCAGCCGCGGGTTCAATCCAGAATGCTCTCCCTATTGATTGCCCCCTGTACCAGCACGTGCAGCCATGTGTGCGGACAGGGGGCGCACAAGATCATGATCCGCCTTCTTCCCGTTGTCGTTACGGAGGTTGGCTCGAGGCATTTTGCGAGCTCACATTTCTCTCGGAAGAGGATGGGGCGGCCTTCCCCTTGTTTGAGTTCGGCTGTCAATTTGAACAAACCATCTCACCTACATCGGCGATGGTTCCGTGCCCGTCGGCGTTTAATGTTGACAATATTTTGAGTTCGAGTACAGCGGGCTCGGCGACTACAAGTTTCCTGGGGTCTTCGGCTGCTGCAGTCAGTTGACAGGTCTCTGGTCTGGACGTTACTCCAGCTATTCCAACCAAACCTGACCAGCTGGAAGGCTCCAGACCCGACTCGTCGCCAACCCCCGTGGCTAGATCGGTGTCAGAACGCCAGTCGCCACAGTTGAATCAGGCTTGGCCGCTGTCCGACGCTGTGGCCCGCTGCGGGCCCGAGACCGAGCAATTGGTCCTGCCAGCTCACGCTTCCACGGTGGGATCATCAGGCCAGCACGTTCTCAGTCTCAATGCAGCTTTGGCGTTGGAGCAGCCCGCGGAGAACCGGCTTCTGACTACTGCCACGCTCAATGGGAATACCTGGTCCGCAGCGAAGGAGGTGGTTCTCTGGCTGGACAAACATGGCCGCGCTCCTAATTTCATCTGTATTCAGGAACATCATTTTCTGTCGGACCAGGTTGAACGTTCTGCGCACCAGTGGAGCCCATCAGGTTCCATGAAGTTGGTAGCTGGCTCTGCTAAGCGCACGGGCGTCGGGCACCTGGAGGTCTCGGAAGGCGTAGCTATCCTTACTTCGTATTGCCTGGGGGCCCGTCGGATTATCGAGGCCCCTGAAAGATGGCATCGCAGAGTGATTCTCAGACTGGTCAAGCTGTCTTCGTCGTTGGCGCTGTTGATTGGTTCGGTTTATGCAACCACGGGGATCGGTGCAACGGGCGACAACCAGGATCTCTTGGATTATCTGGCGTCAGTCGTGCTGGGCCACTCTTGGCCTTTCCTGCTGGGAGGCGACTGGAACATGGACTCAGAGGACATCCTGGGGACAGGCTGGCTCGAGCTCGTACACGGTCGAGGCATCCTCGAAACGAATGAGTTGTTGAAGCAGTGTGGTTGAGACGTCGTTTGTTAACACGAGGCTCTCACACGATACATTTTCGAACACTGAGCTACTGAGCTCGCTCACGAAATACAGCGAATCGTTAGACATTGTCGTTTCGCTCGGGACATCCTCGGAACATTGAAGTGCTGAAGCCGTATGGTTAAGACGTCTTCTCTCAAGCATGAGGCTCTCGCTCGAGACATCGTCGGAAAACTGCATTCGCAGCATCTTAGCTGGAGGTCCTGTCTCCCCCGTCTTTTTCCGTCTCCTCCGTTTCTGAGGTCTCCTCAGTCTCTGAGGTCTCCGTCTCTTCCGTTTCGGAGGTATCCTCCATCTCTGAGGTCTCCTCCGTCTCTTCTCCGTTTCCTCCGCCATCCTCCTTTTGTTTTCTCTTCCCCCTCCTCCTCCCCCTCCTGCTCCTCCTCCTTCTCCTCCTCCTTCTCCTCTCTTCTCCTCTCTTCTCCCCTCTTCTCCCCTCTTCTCCGTCTCTGAGGTCTCCTCCGTCTCTGAGGTCTCTTCCGTCTCTGAGGTCTCTTCCGTCTCTGAGGACGCCTCCATTTCCTCCGTCTCCGTCTCCTCCTCCCCCCCTCCTCCTCCTCCTCCTCCTCCTCCTCCTCCTGCTCCTGCTCCTGGTCTTCCTCCTCCCCCTCCTCTTCTCTGAGGTCTCCTCCGTCTCCTCCGTCTCTGAGGTCTCTTCCGTCTCTGAGGTCTCCTCCGTCTTTGAGGTCTCTTCCGTCTCTGAGGTCTCTTCCGTCTCCTCCGTCTCTGAGGTCTCTTCCGTCTCTGGGGTCTCTTCCATCTTTGAGGTCTCCTCCGTCTCTGAGGTCTCTTCCGTCTCTGAGGTTCTTGAGTCTTTCTCCGTCTCTCAGGTCTCTTCCGTCTCTGAGGTCTCTTCCGTCTTTGAGGTCTCCTCCATCTCCTCGATCTCCATCTCCTCCTCCCCCACTCCTCCTCCTCCTCCTCCTCCTCCTCCACCTTCTCCTCATCCTGCTCCTCCTCCTTCCCCTCGTCTCTGAGGTCTCCTCCGTCTCTGAGGTCTCCTCCGTCTCCTCCGTCTCTGAGGTCTCTTCCGTCTCTGAGGTCATCTCAGTCTCTGAGGATTCTTCCGTCTTTGAGGTCTCTGAGGTCTCCTCCGTCTCCTTCGTCTCTGAGGTCTCTGCCGTTTCTGAGGTCTCCTCTATCTCCTCCGTCTCCGTCTCCTCCTCCCCGTCTCTCCTCCTTCTCCTCCTCCTCCTCCTCCTGCTCCTTCTCCTCTCCCTCCTCCTCCCCCTCCTCCTCCTCCTTCTTCTCATCCAACGCTATACATGGCAACCGTCGGGTCATTTAGAGAATCCTCCGATTGCACCCCATGTGCGCACATTGGTGTTGGGTGCAAGTCCGTGCGCAAGTGCGCGCGCGAGCTCAGAGAAGCGGCGCTTTCCGTTCTTGTCCAGAATGGTTCCCCCTTTTTTCAGGCGTTTCGCTCGAGACATCCTCTGACAAGTGAGATTCAGAAGGAGCTGTCTGCTAGGCGTTATCTGTCGAAAACGAGGCTCTCGAACAATGGAGATGTTTAGATCGCGCTCGAAACCTACGTAGCCAAGTATAAGAAACCAGTGCCGTTTTGCTCGAGACATCCTCAACACAATGAGATGTTGGAAGAGCTGCTTATAAGACGTTCTCTGTTGATTTCCTTGTGACGTACCCAACTCTTTCTATACATGTGGCGATTCTACTCAGGACCACTCAATGCTGACTGGCATTATGAAGGACCCGCAGTGCGCAAGACGAGCATCCAGCATTGTTTCCAGAAGAGCGCAGCAAGAAGAGGAACGGCAAATATACAACATGGACACACAGGGGCGTTGAAAGAAACGCGCCCAAAGAGTGAACCCAAAAGGGCACGGCGGCGAGGGCTAAAACACCACGAAAGCCTCCGCTGGGCCTCCCAAGCCCCAAGAAAGTGGTTACAGTTGCGCAGATCGCAAGCCCCCCCCAGGGGGCGGCGAGGTCCCGAGGTGGTCCGCGTGGGACCCACCTCCGCTGGGCCTCCCGGGAGCCCACGAAAGTGGCGACAGTTGCGCAGATCGCAAGCCCCCCATGGGGCGGCGAGGTCCCGAGTACCTCCACTGGGCCCCCCAGGAGCCGACGAAAGTGGCGACAGTTGCGCAGATCGCAAGCCCCCCAGGGGGCGGCGAGGTCCCGAGGTGGTCCGCGTGGGACCCACCTCCGCTGGGCCTCCAAGGAGCCCACGAAAGTGGCGACAGTTGTGCAGAGATCGCAGGCCCTCCAGGGGGCGGCGAGGTCCCGAGATGGTCAGCGTGGGACCCACCTCCGCTGGGCCTCCCAGGGGTCCACGAAAGTGGCGACAGTTGCGAAGATCGCAAGCCCCCCAGGGGGCGGCGAGGTACCGAGATTGTCCGCGTGGGACCCACCTCCGTTGGGCCTCCCAGGAGCCCACGAACGTGGCGACAGTTGCGCAGATCGCAAGCCCCCCAGGGGGCGGCGAGGTCCCGAGGTGGTCCGCGTGGGACCCACCTCCGCTGGGCCTCCCAGGAGCCCACGAACGTGGCGGCAGTTGCGCAGATCGCAAGCCCCCCGTGCCAGGAATCTTCCGAAATGGGCGCGGGGACGCCATGCAAAGATGCGTATTCTGGGGCATGATTCGCGTGACAGGTGTGCCAGCATGGGCGGGGGGGGGCGTTGTACGAACCTTCTGGGCCTTTAGGTGGTGCTCCTTGTGGGCATGATCCACGTGATGGGGTGTGCCGCAATGGCTGGGGGGGAGGGCGCAGTGCGAAGCCTGCCTCTGCGGCCGTGGGTGGAGATCCCTGTGGGCCATGATCACGATCCGTGTGCGAGGTGTGCCGAAGTAGGCGGGATGGCGGGATGCGAACCTTGTCTTTGGAGCCGTCCGTGGATGTCCTTGCGGGCCCCGATCCGTGTGGGAACTGTGCCGAAATGAGCGGGGCGATGTTAGGAAGCCCCCATCTGGTGAACACAAATGCATTTACTTGCGGAGCACGGTCCGCGTGAAGGATGTGCCACTGTGAGAACCTCGTCTCCGGTGACGTAATTAAGTGGGTCTCCCTGTGGGACGCGATGCCTGCGAGGGGTGTGCCGGCATGGGCGGGGGGACCCTCAGCCAAGCCTGTCTGAGGGGTCTCAGGTGGAACGCCCTGAGGTGCACGATCCTTGTGGCAATACATATACATATATCCTCCGATGTCGAACAGTTTAGACTACAACTGGAGCTCGCTGGAACCTAAGCGCGCGCGAAACGCGCGCGTGGTTCTAGTATATATATATATATATATATCCGTAAGGGCTTCGCCCCCTGCCGCCGGCCCCCTCTCTCGGAGAATGGGCCATGGAAGAGCTAAGTCATGAGGCCTTGGCGCTGTCGTGAAGCAGTATCGAAACTTCATGCGAAGCCGAGTCGCAATCAGCAAAACCAACTGATCACAAGAGGGGTTACCACACCTGGCGATTGGTAAGACGTGTATGGTTTAAGGGCTTGGTTACCACACCTTGCGATGAAAGGGCCGAGGGAGTTCTCGCAGTTTGGGTTACCACGCCTTGCGATGGATGTGCGTGATGGGTTAGAATTTCAGAAATGTGGCAAATCCCCTGTGTTTTTGGACCCTGACCCCGCGGATCTGCGTGAGGGGTGGCACCGAATTTCAGAAATGTGGCAAATCCCCTGTGTTTTTGGACCCTGACCCCGCGGATCTGCGTGAGGGGTGGCACCGAATTTCAGAAATGTGGCAAATCCCCTGTGTTTTTGGACCCTGACCCCGCGGATCTGCGTGAGGGGTGGCACCGAATTTCAGAAATGTGGCAAATCCCATGTGTTTTTGGACCCTGACCCCGCGGATCTGCGTGAGGGGTGGCACCGAATTTCAGAAATGTGGCAAATCCCCTGTGTTTTTGGAGCCTGACCCCGCGGATCTGCGTGAGGGGTGGCACCGAATTTCAGAAATGTGGCAAATCCCCTGTGTTTTTGGACCCTGACCCCGCGGATCTGCGTGAGGGGTGGCACCGAATTTCAGAAATGTGGCAAATCCCTGTGTTTTTGGACCCTGACCCCGCGGATCTGCGTGAGGGGTGGCACCGAATTTCAGAAATGTGGCAAATCCCTGTGTTTTTGGACCCTGACCCCGCGGATCTGCGTGAGGGGTGGCACCGAATTTCAGAAATGCGGCAAATCCCATGTGTTTTTGGACCCTGACCCCGCGGATCTGCGTGAGGGGTGTCGATTTCGAGCCCCCCCAGTAATTCAGACAACGCGCCCAGGGGACGCTGGAAAATCCTGTTTGGGCCTCCCCCCCCCTCGCGCGGTCAATCAACTAGTTACAGTAACCAGCAAGAAGTCAACTAGTTACAGTAACCAGCAAGAAGCAGACCTGTAACACTGGAAACTAGAAACTACAACTGGTACAGGAAACTGCGAATCACGCGCCTCGCAGCCTGGTGGCCCCACAAGGGGGCCGGCGGATATATTACGTGTCGTCGCATTTCCCAATAAACGAGTTGTAGCCAAACTTTTCTCCACACGTGTCTTCAGGAGGTAAGCTCTCGAACCAGCATACATGATGATGGTGGTAATGGTGATGATGAGGATGATGATGATGATGATGAGGAGGAGGAGGAGGATGATGATAAGCAGAAGGATGAGTAGGAGGAGAAGGCGGGAGAGGAGGAGGAGGAGGAGGAGGAGGAGGAGGAGGAGGAGGAGGAGGAGGAGGAGGAGGAGGAGGAGGAGGAGGAGGAGGAGGATATGGAAGGGGATGTTCAGGGTGAGGCGTGCAGAAATTTGGGCATTTGCAAACGTGGGCGAGGAGAAGGCCAATGCCTCGGGCTCAAGTAACGCATCTTTCAGGACAGCACCAGACTGCGTTCTGATTCGTAGCGCCATGTATGGAGCGTGCAATTCCCAAGCTCGACGGAGACGGTCTCCGTCCCGTTGCTATCAGCTCTCAGGAGGGAGCACTTGTGTCCCAGCGTCCAGCCGCTAGGTCCTTGGGGCCACGACGAGCTTCCCACAATGCAGATTCCGTCCTTTCTTCGTCTCCTCCTTCTCCCCGCCGTTCTGTCTCATGCATTTCCCTCCCCTTCGACCCTAGTACCAAACCCCCTCCCAATGTTCCGGCCGAGGGATGACTCGAGTTCCGCGAACCCACGACACAAGATAGACCCCCTATTGACGGCGTCGTTTTCTCGCAAGTGTCCTGGACGGAGGACAAGAAGAGGAGGATGAGCAGGTGGAGGAGGATGAACAGGCGGAACAGGAGGAGGAGGAGGACAAGGAGGAGGTCAGGGCGGAGATATATGTTCCGGTCATCGTCCAAGCTGCTTGGCATCTGCCGCCGCAGCAGGGCTGCGGCGCTGGTCACGCAGCATCCGTGTTCAGCGCAATTCGCCTCGTCGCCGAGGCGCCTCCGCCCCCCCCCCTTCCGTGTAGTGTTGATCACAAGCGCTTTCTACGACCCTTACGCAGCATGTACTTCGCATTCACGCGTGCAGTTCACCATTGACAAATTGCCATTCGTATGTGGCTACTTGCGTTGGTGTGCGCTCAAAAGTGTCCAGCCCGGTTGAACCGTAGTGAATTCTCGACCGCCGATGCGTTAAAGGGCCGCATTTGTGGAGCAACATTGTTTTGCAAGCGCGCTCGTTTCAAGAAGCAGCATCCGAAACAGAGCGTGTAACTAATCTGTGTATAATAGATCGTGCTTCATGTACACATCTATGTACATATATAGACTCTGTTCATACGTACAGATAAATAGAAATAACCAGAGAGGTACATAACGTGGTACATACACAGGGAGAGAGAGAGAGAGAGAGAGAGAGAGAGCGAGGGCCGCTGATAAGCCGTTTGCGGGTGCAGTCTAGTGTCTGATGTACATTGTTATCATTTTTTGCCAGCGGCTGAAAGACTAATGCCGCAACGCGGCGTGCGGCAATGCCGTCCCTGCCAAGCACGATTTGCCTGAAGAGGCACCTTTCTCTTATCTCCAGCCGACATTCTGCACGGCTCGTCCTAGCAGGCTTCAAATGGCGGGCTACCTTTCGCAGGGCACGATCATTCCGCAGGCGTCTAGAGGAAAAGAGGTGCCGTGTCAGCGCTGTTTGGCCTTCCCGCTTGAATACCGCATGCACGACGAAACCCAGCGCTTCAGCCTGGATATCAGCACTGAAGGGAAATACTCTGTCCCTCGCACTCGTCGGTTGGCCGTCTTGCCAGATTGCCATGTGTAGGTTCCACGCGCCGATGCCGATTCGGTCGTCGTCATCGTCGTCGTCGTCGTCTCTGTCCTCGTCCTCCTCGTCCTTTCCCTCTTTGCTTTCTTTTTCTTCCTCTCATTCGCCCCCGTCGCCTGGGGAACACGAGGCAATATACTCAGCAACGCAGAATGGATACTTTGCCAGCTGAGTCGATTGCGTTTGGCGCGTTGGCTTTGATACCGTAGGCACCCCCGTGGTGCAAAACTGGGATCGGGGCTGTTCGTTCATGTGCCCGCGTTATTGTTCTCTGTTGGGGCGGGGGGGTATTTCTTTTTCGTCACAGTTGGCTTCGGCGCGGACCACTGCTCAGGCTTGCAATTGGGAGGGTTCCAGGGTCGTATCCCACAGGATACCACCCAGGGATGAGACGTTCCCCACTCCTAGCTCCTGCCTCCCTCCCACCTCCTAACTTCCTAACCTTCCTGTCTCCTTTCTCCTCACAGACTCATCCCTCGTCCCTCGTCCTCTGTCCCTCCTCCTTTGTCCCTCCTCCCCCTTTCCTCCCCTTCCCCTTTCCTCCTTCCTTGTCCTTCCCTCCATCCCTGCGTTCCTGCGCCTTCCTCCGTCCCCGACGGTCGTGGAAGCGGGTGGAGCCAGGAGAGGGCTGGGGTAGGCGGGAGGTGCGGTGTTGGTGGGACGGGATGTTCCACCAGGGGATGGTCAGCGGAGCCCACCAGGTGTCGGTATTCTGGCAGGTCTCTCGATTCGGCACGCAGAAGCGCGGCCCAGCCGCCGATGCCGCACAGACCCCGCCGTCCGAGAGGGCCCGGGCCACCCCGGGACCGCTGATATCGAAAGACCCAGCCAAACAGGATTTCTTTCACATCAGCGCGGTGGGCTCGGCCGCGACTGCGCCATCTCCGTCTAATGATGGGCCGATTTTCCACCACCACTACCATAGGTAGGAGAGGAGGAGGAGGAGGAGGAGGAGGAGGAGGAGGAGGAGGAGGAGGAGGAGGAGGAGGAGGAGGAGGAGGAGGAGGAGGATGAGGAGGGAGTGGAGGCGGAGGGCGGAGGCGGAGGCGGAGGCGGAGGCGGAGGCGTAGGCGGTGGTGTTGGCGGAGAGGAGGTGGAGGGGGAGGAGGAGGAGGCAGGAGGAGGGGAGGATCAGGATGATGATGATGATGATGATGATGATGATGATGATGATGATGCTGATGATGATGATGATGATGATGATGATGATGATGATGATGATGATGATGATTATTGATGATGATGATGATGATGATGATGATGATGATGATGATGATGATGATGATGATGATGATGATGATGATGATGATGAATTATGATGATGATGGCTGATGCTGAATGCGGATGCTGATGCTGATGCTGCTGCTGACTGCAATGCTGATGCTGATGCTGATGCTGGATGAGAAGACGACGATGATGATGCTGCATGATGCTGCTGGCTGATGATGCTGGCTGATTATGTGATTATTATGAATGATGCTGATACTGACTTGCTGATGCTATGATGATGAATGCTGATGCTGTGCTGATGATGATGATGTTGCTGATGCTGATTTCTGATGCTGCTGCTGCTTGATGATTATGCTGATGATGATCATGTGTGATGTGATGATATGTATGATGATGATGATGATGAAGTATTATGATGATGATTATGCATGATGATGATGGGATGAGATGCAGGATGAGGGATGAGATGAGGTGAGGGGCAGGAGGCGAGGCGGAGGCTGAGCGGAGGCGTGGCGGGTGGCGAGGAGGATGTGGAGGGGATGAGGAGGAGGAGAGACCGAGAGGAGGGAGAGGAGGAGGGGAGGAGGAGGAGGATGCTAAGGGGGAGGCGGAGGCGGGCTGAGGCAGAGTTGGATGCGAGGCGGAGGCGGAGGCGAAGGCGGAGGATGCGCGGAAGAGGAGGAAGAGGAGGAGGAGGCTGGAGAGGAGGAGGAGGAGGAGAGGAGGAGGAGGAGGAGGAGGAGGAGAGGAGGATGAGGAGGAGGCGGAGGCGTAGTCGGAGGCGGAGGCGGAGGCGGAGGCGGAGGAGGAGGCGAAGGCGGAGGCGGTGGCGGAGAAGGAGGCGGAGGCAGAGGGGGAGGAGGTGGAGGAGGAGGAGGAGGAGGAGGAGGAGGAGGAAGGAGAGCATGATGATGATGATGATGATGATGATGATGCTGATGTTGATGCTGATGCTGATGCTGATGCTGCTGCTGATGATGATGCTGATGTTGGTGATGCTGATGACGATGATGATGCTGATGTTGCTGATGACGATGATGATGCTGATGATGCTGATGATGATGATGATGCTGATGATGATGATGCTGATGCTGATGATGCTGATGCTGATGATGATACTGCTGCTGATGCTGATGCTGATGATGATGCTGTTGATGATGATGGATGCCGTTGATGATGCAGCTGATGCTGATGCCGATGCTGATGATGATGATGGTGATGATGGTGGTGATGATGATGCTGATGATGATGATGATGCTGATGACAATGTTGCTGCTGATGATGATGATACTGATGATGACGAGGATGATGATGCTGATGATGATGATGATGATGATGATGATGCTGATGCGGGTGATGATGATGATGCTGATGATGATGATGATACTGCTGATTATTAGTATTTTTATGATGGTGGTGATGATGCTGATGGCGATGTTGATGATGCTGCTGATGATGCTGATGCTGATGATGATGATGTTGATAATAAGGATGATGCTGATGACGATGCTGTTGATGATTCTGATGATGATGCTGATGATGATGATGATGATGTTGATGATGCTGATTTTGATGATGATGACGCTGATGATGCTGCTGATGATGATGATGATGATGATGATGATGATGATGATGATGTTGCTGACGATGATGATGCTGTTGATGATGATGATGATGA